CTAAGTATAACTTATCAAAATATTAAATACTCAGTAAAATTTAGTAAATTTCTCCTGCACCCTCCCCCAATAAGCAAGCAGCATACTCTCCTAAATTAACTTGGCTGAAAAATGTTTTCCTACCCTTACAGATTCTTATTAATTTTAAATATATAGACTCACCTACAAAGCATTTTCACAGATAGCTTGGTTTCTCAGTAGATAGTAATTTGACATAGCATGAAAGGACAACCTATTATTACTTTAATGCTAAGGTCAAAAGGATTATTCTGCATGTCCAATTTAGGTAGCCCAAAGCCTTTAGTCCTTATCAGACCCACAGTCGAGACAAACTAACATAAGGATTGAACAGGCTGATGTTATTTAAGAATTAATTTGCAATACTGAAGTGCTACTTATATAGCCTTTAAAAGTAAACAAGAAGCTAACTTTGTATGTTGTTAAAGGTAGGTCATTTCTAACCCTTAGAATTTATTTTCTTATCAAGTGGCCTTTTATCAGCACAAATATAGATCTTATAAGCAGGAAACAAGCTCACATATGGTTATGAAAGCGGTGCCATTTTACTGAAACTGCATTAACTCTAACCACAATAAGACTACTTAATAATAGAGTCCATCAATTCCCTCATATTCATGATTCACTGTCACTAGAAAAACGAATTTGCATTCAGTTTACTCAATGCTCATAATAAAAGCATCTTCCTATATGTGGGAAGATAGTTTCAGCACAGGCAAAAGAAGTGACCTGGGTAATGAAACGAATACAATGCCTCAGTCTGTGATTACAGAAAGAACTGAATAATGTCACTCTCTTATAAAAGCCTGAAATACTTCAACTTATTTTACAGTCCCTCCCCCACAAAATTATGGCCTCAAGACTTCTCTCAAGGCAAAGCCCTAAAGCACCTGAATGCTTATTAAAGGCATCACTGGACATACTACACTATCTCAGTATAATCCCAAATGCAACAAACTCAATTCAGCAATTTGGCACTTACTGAATGATTATTACATACAAACACTGTGTAAGACACAGTAGTAATTAAAATACATACCTCATCTTCAACAGGCTTACAATCTAGTGGGAGAATGGAACACATTATAAGCCCTTCTCAGCAAGACTTATTTATCTAAATGGCAAATGAAAGAATGACTCAAGTACTATTTTCTCAAATCTATCAAGGATGGATTACAACTAATACAATGCTAGATGCATATGACAGATGTCTTGGGGTGTAACGGGACGAAAGTACCAAAAGACAAAGGGAGTATGGAAGACCACATGTCCTGCTCCAATCTTTGTATTCTTTGCTGTGGCTCACTGAGGGCCCAAATATATTTTAAGCACAGAAGTAACATAATCAAACATGTAAAATGCTATTCTGGCAATAGTACAGATGAAAGGAGAGAAACTGAAGCAAAAGACCAACTATGAGATTATAGAAATAATCTTAGCCTTAGGAGTAACAATCTCTTGAACGATAATAGGACCAATAACGATGAAAAGGTGAATGAACAGGACTCGGTAAATGACAGAGCCAAGAATAGTTGTCTCCAAGGCTTTCATCCAGGATGAATAAAAATAAAGTGATACCATGAAACAATGACAGAAATACAGGACTTATGAATTATAAGTGAATGAAGCCACTACAAATGGCTTTAATTAAAAAAAAAAAAAAAACAGCAAACTGCTTTTTTCTATGCCTTCAACTGTGCTAAATTTATTCTAGAATTCGTATTTTTATTTGTTATTAGGAACCATAATGAAAGACCAGATTTTAAAGTACTTATACCCCTCCCTCACTTCTTCAGGATAAAATACTAACACAACCAGAAAAAATTATAAATAACTTGATGTCTTAGAGATAAAGAATCCCTCACCTAACTGCCAGAACCCGCTTAATAACAATGAGAACAACGTCTTACAACAGATCAGTTCATTCACAAACCAACCTTTAGCCAAAGCTTTGAGGAAAAGTCTCTCTAAGAATGACAACTTTTATGGCACTGTCTAAAAGCACTTAAAGAATCCAGAGGAAGGATGTTCCAGAAATCCATGGCAAGACTGTAAGATCTTTTCCTAACTGGTGTGGAATTAAAGTTGAAATATGAGGACATGAATATGGGATGAAATACAGAAGTCACCTTAAGACTTTAAATATATAATATCTCTCCTACCTACTTTGCTTACCCTTCAAAAATGTCTTAACTAATAGGAATTGGCAGCATCCACTCAAGCACAGAAATTCTTATCTACAACCCAATCATATGTTCATAAACCCTATTCTAAAAAGGGTTCACACACTCTATTCCAAAATGTATTTTAGAATTTTTGGAAATTTTTAATGGAAAACACATGAATATGTCCTTCTATGTTTCTATGACTTCTCTTTTGTCTTATGTGAGACAGTTAATGTAAGATGATAATTATTCCTTATTTTAGTAGTCACACAAACTATTCAATATCCAAAAGTAGGAAAATAAATTAGCCTACAGGATGATTTTGAGATGGCAGAAATGTTTACTGAATTATATAAAACAAAAGGCATTTGCTTTCTGAAAAAAGAGGCAGAACGGCATAAGCAGTAAGAACAAAGCTTTAGTATCAAAGAGTCCTTGGGTCAGATTTTTTTAATCTATAAAATGAGGATTTTACTACATAAACAACTGTGTGAGATAAAAGTAAATTGGTGTTTTCCATACCTGGCTGGTCACCAGAATTGCCTGGGAAGCTTATTAAAAACATAACAACCCAGGCCCCATTCCATATTTTCAAAAGTGTGGTACCAAAATTTGTATTTTTTAACAAATTCCAAAGATGGTATCAGTCCCACGACTTGGAAATCATTGAAAAAAAAAAAGTTATTTTACACGTTTTATGTTCCTATATAATTTATATCTTTATGTATAATGTAACTTAACAGAACCCTAGTACATTGTAAAACATTCAATAAATGCTTGATGTAATTATCATTATTTTGAAATAGGAGATAAAGCTAAGCCTTTTGAAACATGATGGCAACGAAGTAGTCTTGCAGACAAGTGGTCTTGCAGAACAACAGTTTGCGAAAACCTCTCGGCAAAAAGAAGACTTGCAGCATGAAATGATACTGCTTCAGAGACTGCAAGAGATGACAGAAGTGTTTTCCACAACATAGTTTATGAATGAAGGAAAGCATAAAGTCAGGCCTGTCTTGTATTTTTCATAGCAAAGCTTGACCATACCAGGTCACTCTATCACAAAATCTTTACATTCCTTATTTTTCAGAAATTCATACAAATTCATAAAAAACTCATGACAGAGCATCCAAGTACTAAATAAATGTGTGCAGTAACTTTAACCATAATGAATATATAAAACCTACAGAGATGTATGGATACTCACAGAAAAATCCCTGGTTCTTAATTTTAAAAAATAATAACATCTTTCCTTTTTAAAAGTCCAAACCCTTGAATTATTTAGTATTTCTTAAAAACTTGACCTCATACATAGGATATAAAGCCCTTTAAGAAAAGCTTTAAGCACATTTTTGTAACAATACTGTACACAGATCAGTATTATCTTTTAGATTATATTTTAAAACTCCTTCTATAAAAAACCTTAACAAATTTATTTATAAATGTGGTTTCAGCTTGTTTCTATCATATCACAGATCTGGTAAATTCAGGAAAATATTATAATACCAATTAATCTCTCTTCTAAATTTTGATACTAAAACAAATTTTTTAAAAGCTATTGCTGACAGAAGGTAAAGTGAATCCTATGGCCATTTGGAGTAAACCACATAGACTAAAACTTTTTATTTTAAAACACTTTTTAGAAATGATTCTTAATGAACACAAACTTAGTTACTAATATTTAAAAGTTTAAATACTCAAGGTGTAAAAAATAATGATTACCTAATTACCGAACACAATATTTTACCTTTGGGTTTATTTGTCTACATACACATCTTACAAAGATTATGGAAATCCATGATCTAATGGTAACAGATTGCTGCAAGCACTGAGAAATAAGTGTGTTATATAAATAAAGCTTAGAGGGAAGGAGCTGTTTTGGTCATTAAATTATAGGACTTTACCATTTTCTTCTACCAAATTTTAACCATTAATCCTTCTGGTATTACAGAAGCAAAGTTATACCGAGAGATCCAGAAGGCTGAGGTAATGTGATCTTAAAGGAAACACAGTAAAACTAGAATTCAGAGATATCTCAAGCAAGTAAAACCAAAAGTTACCAGCTTTCATAGGCCTGTAGAATATTATATACTTCCATGAAAAGTCCTTATAAAGCACTAGACCTGCACAAACTGTCTACGTGGTAAAAGAATGTAGAAAATTAAATGAATTTAATTGGATTACCCTCTACATCTAAATTTCCAGAAATATTTGGGGTGTGGTGTGTGACAGTCAAGAGCCTTAAAAACGTTTTTAATCTTCGGTACACAGTTGATATGAGGCAACTCAAAAAAAATACTTGATCTACCAACAACACATGGTAAGAAAGGTTGCTTTTCTGCTCCTCTTCCCAAAAAATATTTATGGGTATATCTTTCTGAAGCCGTTATTAAACCCCTCTTCCTGGGTCTAACCCCATGGAAAAATGTTCTGGCAAGTGGTCTTGAAAAAGGCACAGAAATTTAGAAACGGAAGAGGGGACAGAGGGCAAAGACAGGGTTATGATTTCACTTCTCCATCATAAATGGCTTCTAAGAAGCAAAGCAGGTTAATACTTAAAAGTACTAGAATGAATGTAAAGTTCTCCAAAGAGAAATAGCAATACCCCTTCATTCTACTTGACCTCAACCCTTAAGTGAGAAAAGTTTAGGACTGTACATTAATAAGTTTGCAAAGTTAGCTACAGTTCTCATGACAATAAACATTCAAAAATTAATTCCAAAGGAAAATAACTTGTAATAAGTTAGTGGGTTTCACCACAGTAATATTTCTCAAAAACATAAAATTTAAAACACTACAAAGTACAGGACAATAACTTACTTGAGTTGGAACAAGTACAGGAGGGTAGGCCATCTTGTGATGTCTGTACACCCAAAATGCACAAATGATAATTCCCGCAATTAACATAAGTGGCACCAAGGAATACAGCAGGATGTTGTAATAGGGTGGCTTAGGTGTAACTGGATTTGAAGTGGCTGTGAAAAGGGGAGGGAAAAATAACTCAGATTTGGTCAACAAAATTCTATAATAAATATTTATCAGTCTCAAATTTGGGGGGGAGGAATATAAGGAGGTAAGGGTAAATTATTCCATCAACACAAATATATTTTGTTTCCAATCTACAGTTGGACAAACCTATGTATTTTCCCTATGAACTTACGCTGTGTGACTTCCATCTCCGGAAAGTAAGAAAACTTTTCATTACACATATTGCCCTCACAGCAACAAAAATATACTTCAGGGCTGTCTTTTTTTTCTACACAATCAGTCCTATAGATAAACAGAGAAAAAATAATTAAAATCAATATTATTATACTGACCCTACAATAAGTGCTTTTATTCTGCAATATAATAATAAATTAGTCATTTATATTCAAATTCAAGATTTGTACTACTATCTAATAATTCTTAAAAACCAAAAATGTTCCTGGCTTCCTGTTACTAAATCTCTTTAGAAAAAAAAAATCAACAACTGATTTTATAATAATTACACTGACTACTAGGGACTACTGCTGTAATCTGGTTTTTAATAAGCATTCTAAGGCAACCATCTTCGTTTTTTTAATTATTAGAAAAGCTTGAAGAGGAGCCATAAAGTCAATGAGGCAATTTGGTAGAGTGCTTTGGCTCACAAGAAATATAGCTTTCCTATTTTGTGAATACAAAAACTATATATAAAACTGAAAACTATAAAGCTGTGGATGTGTGTGTATGTACACACATAAATACACGCACAAATGCTAAATGATAAAAGCTCCTATCTCTTGGATGAAATATTTCAACAGAAGAGACCCAAACTAGGCTGAGGAATTAAAACTGGCATTGTTTTTTAGAGGGCAGATTTAAACTCCCTGAATGTAATGAACAGGGTTGAGATGAGCAACAAGTAAAAACAAATACTTAACAATAATCATACAGGACCTACTAACTCAAACTGATTAGAATTAAACTAAAATAAATAAAGCAGCCTTCAGACTTTAAGTCATGAAAAGTAGTAGATTTAAGCCTCTAGAACAAATCCTAATCATTGACTAAGAAACAGCTAAACCTATTTTTAAAAATCAACATTGGCTAAACTTAAAAGATGTATCTTAAAAATGAACTGAACTTTTCAAATACTTGTCAGAATGATGAGGTAGAGTTTAATTCTTAAGTGAAAAGCTGAAGAAATCTCAGGGAGATAGGAGTTTTAACAAAATCAAACTAAAATACACTCAACATCTATTTGGCAGAAGGTTTTTTAAAGACAAATGAAAGCTAAGCATGTTTAAGGTTTATAATTCTAACAAGCTTGAGGAAAATAGTTTATTTCAGAGTTATCCCTACATGGCAGATTATTCAAAATATATCAAAGATAAAACATAAATATGCCATGCTTATTTTATTACTTTAAACTATACTGTCATTAGAGAATATTATAATGTTCTTTTTAACCCCATTTTTTAAAAAAAAGCAAAAAACATTTAATTGAAAATTCATGCACTAATCTTTCCCCTTTCAAAAACAGGAGAAGAATAAAGATGAAAATTACACAATACTATCATAAGATCTTAAATGCGTCCTTCCTTACCTGTCATAGCAGTTGATATCATCCAGCCAACAACCTTGTTTCACTATTTCAATGGAACCAGAAATATTCTTCCAGGTAGCAAAACAATGCCGTCGTTTATCTTTGTCACCATAACACGGTTCAACACCAGTTTGATTGGTTCTGTCTTTTTCCCAATTAGCATTAAAGAAAAGACACTCCTGAGTTTCTGATCTACCAAGTATAGCACCTATAAGGTAATAAAAACAACAATATAATCACATTAGCTCTTAATATAAGAGACTGTTTCCCAAGATAGCAACTTCAGGTATTCCTAAAATATCAATAATTTACTGTCTACCCACTGTTACAACTTTGGGTTTAGGTTTCCAGGTTAATTCCTATACTTTAAATATAAAAAATAACCATGATAACAGGAAATAACCATATATATCACAAGATTTCTTTGGCCAACACCAAATAATCATATATATCACAAGATTTCTTTGGACAACAGTTTCACTTTAGAATATTCTTGATGAAAAGCCAGAGAAATTGTTAACTGGCCCTTGAATAGACTACTTCTTAATATTGTGTGTGACAAAATAAAAACTAAGCAAACATCTCTGCTGCACAGTAAATACAGCTGACCCCTAACAACTCAAGGGGTAAGAATCACTGACTGCACACAAACATTGGTATATAACTTTTGACTCCCCAAAACTTTCCCAATAGCATCAACAGTCGATTAAAACATATTTTCTATATTATACATATTATATACTATATTCTTACACTAAAGTAAGCTAAGGAAAATGCTATTTGAAATGTTATTTAAAAATCATAAGGAAGATAAAATACATTTACAACACTGAACTGTATTTATCAAAATACGTTTACATCTTCTGTTCACAAAATAAATCTTCTGTCTCAAAAGGCAACCACAGCTGCAGACCTCAATCTATGGTAATCATTTGACTTTTTCTTGTAATGTCAGGACTTTTCTTAGGATCAATCCAGTATCACCAGTGGCACTCTGTATGGGTCCCATGGTGTTATTCAAGATTCACGGTATTGCACTAAACATAAAGAAAAATATGCTAGAACCTCAAGAGATCACTTTTTATTGTGATATGCAATTTACTGGAGAGACAAACTGCTCAAGCTGAGATGATTAGCATCATATGGTGCTTTAGGCAGATATTCGCAACACTTGAGCTCACCGTAACAGCAACAGGAGGTGGCTATGAAATTATTACAGTCGCATAGTATGTACTATAGTTAATTCTATGCAATTATAATTTAATGCTGTATCTTTACATTTGTTTACATTTCTCTCAACTGCAAACTGTGCCATGTATGGTCTGTAAGTGTGTGTGTAAGTTTTGATAAATTTTAACTTTTTATAATAGATTTGTGTATATATTATGGTAGTAAATGATAAAATAAACTGGTTTCTACATATATTTTATGCATTCATGACGTATATCTAACTTTTTCTTAATTTTGTCAATATTTCCAGGCTACAAAATTCATTTCTGATTTTTTTTCAAATATCCCAAATCTTCTTTTCCAACACATTTATTGAAAAAAAATTCATGTATGTATAGACTGACACAATTAAGACCCATGTTATTCAAGGATCAACTGTACAATGGTTGCCTCAAGAAAAAGTCCCCATATGACTGAGTTATAAACTAACAAACTATGGTTATTTAGACTTGGGTATCTGACAGACATGTTCTCAAAAGTAAACCAAGTGAACCTGTGACTTCAAGAAAAGCAACTAGCAAGTAAGAATTTCCAATGATAATATTTAAGTTTTCAAGTAAAAATAAAAAATTTTGAAAACTTTTATCTACTACCATTAGCATGACACCTTTCAAAAAATACTCAAAGAATTTTCTGATGAGATCAGTGGTGATATCGACTAATGTGACTTTTAAATATTGAATAATGAAATGTGTTAGTATTTAGAAAGTCTATATAATTCAGAGAACCAATATTTTCCAAATGAATTATGTATGATATTACAAAAGTATTCATGGGTTAAAAAATTCACTCAGTGTGCATGACAGAGCAACAGATTTTAATGTTACAAAAGACAAAAAGTTCATTAATGGTTTCAGGTTCCCCACTGCAATTAGCTTTTACAAAATTATGTCTCATCTGGAAAACAAGGAAAGAAGTATAAAGAAGAATTCATACTTTCTGATTTTGAGACTTGCTATAACACTTCAGCAATAAAGACAGCGTGGTTATACTGAAAAGACAGACATATGTATCAATAGGACAGAATAGAGAATCCAGAAATAGACCCACATATAAGTGGTCAACTGAAGTAGAGAAAAGATATCAAGACAATTCAATCGAAAAATGATAGTCTTGACAACCACAGATGCTGGAGCAATTGAACATCCATATGCAAAAAAAAAAAAACAAAAAACTTCAACCCACATATCATGCCATATACAAAAACTAATTCTAAACATATCATAGACCTAAAATAACACATAAAACTATTAAACTTCCAAAAGAAAACATGAAAAATCTTTGTGACCTTGAATAATAAAAGATGTCATAGAACAACATATATGACCTACAAAAGAAAGAACTGATAAACTGAACCTCACTAAAATGAAAACTTCTACTCTTTGAAGGCTAAGGAGACGAAAAAGTCACAGACTGGAAGGAAATAATTGCAAAATGCATTTTTAAAAAAGGACTGATGCTTAGAAAATATAAAGGCCTCTTACAAGTCAATCATAAAAAAAAAAAAACCACTGTCCAATTACTTAAACGGTCAAAAGATTCAAATAGGTCCTTTGCCAAAGAGAAAAGAATGAAAAAGTTTTTTACAAAAAAGCTACTCAATATTATCAATCATCAGGGAAATGCAAATTAAAACCACAATGAAATGCTAACACTTATTAGAATGACTAAAACAAACAAAAACACAAACAGACAATATCAAGTATTGCTGAAAATATGAGCAACTAGAACTTTCACATATTGGTGGTGGTAGAGCGAAATGGTCCAGCCACTTTGGAAAACAGCTTGACAGCTTCGAAAAGTTAAACATATACCTGCCATACAACCCAGCAATCACATGTGTAGATATTGACATAAAAACTTATGTCCATGTAAACATCTGTATATGACTGTTGAGAGTAGCTTTCTATCTCCAAACTCTAAAAGCATTCCGATGGCCATCAGTAGCAAATGGGTAAGCAAACATCCATACACTAAAAAGGAATGACCTCCTCGTGATACCTACAACAACATGGATGAATCTCAAACATTATGCTAAGTGAAAGAAGACAAACTCAAAAGGCTGTCCTGTATGATTCCATTTACACAATATTCTGGAAAAGGCACAATTACAAGGACAGAAATTAGCTCAGAGATTGCCAGAAGCCGGGAGTGATTACAAAAGGGCATGAGGAAACTTTGTAGAATGAAGAAAATGGGAAAACCATACCTTCACTGTGGTAGTACACGATTGTATAATATGTATTGGTCATATACACTAATCAAGATTTATGGAATTATTTATCTTAAAAAATACGTTTTATTCTATGTAAATAAAATTGACTTCAAAAAAAAAAAAGAAAAGAAACTATCTTATCTTGAGTCATGGTATGGTATTAAAGAAAAACACCCATGCCAACTAAAAAAAATTATTAAAATACTATTCCTTTTTTTTCTAACTATATATCTCTGCATGACCAGATTTCCTTCATATGCTCCAACCAAAATAACATATCACAACAAACTGAATGGAGAAACAGAGGAATCCAGTTTTCTTCTACTACAACAATCATTAAAAAGATTGTAAAAATTTAATTTGTTTTGGAAAATATTTTTCATAAAAATCTGTTCTTTACTAACATATGATGAATTATTGCTATTTTAAACACATTAATATTTAAACACGTTCCTTAATTTCTGATATAATAAATATTAATATATATCACTCATATTTTTAAAAAGTTTTGGAGTCTTTAATTTTTAAAAGCTCTAAAGAAGTCCTGAGACTAAAAAGTTTGAGAGCAGTGGCTCTACAATGTACTAGGCGCAGAGATGTAATTATAAGTTGCCAGTATTTGTGGGCAGTAATGGTGCCATGGACTTCCTCTCAACTATGGAAGAAATGATAGCATGAACTGACAGTGCAAACTATGCTCTGGTAACTCCAGCTCAACTGTATATAAAAGAAGGGGCCCAGCACAGTGGCTCACGCCTTTAATCCCAGCACTTTGACAGGCTGAGGCAGGTGGATCACCTGAGGTCAGGAGTTCGAGACCAGCTTAGCCAATGGTGAAACCCCTTTTCTGTTAAAAATACAAAACTTAGCTGGGTGTGGTGGTGTGTGCCTGTAATCCCAGCTACTCAGGAGGCTGAGGCAGGAGAATCCCTTGAACCCGGGAGGTGGAGGTTGCAGTGAGCCGAGATCACGCCACTGCACTCCAGCCTGGGCAACAGAGACTCTGTCTCAAAAACAAAAGGGGGGTGGCTGCTACCATCACTTATCTGTATGCAAACAATAGACACTTTGTAGATTATTTTCAGAAACATGTTTAAAATATAAGCAATGTAAGTTTCCTCCTTTACCAAATAATGCAAAAGCAATATATATTCAATGCCCCCACTGTTATCTTAAAACAGGGATGGGAATCTTTTATGTAAAGATCCGGACAGTAAATATTTCAGGCTTTACAGGCCATGTGGTCTGCCACAACTACTTAACTCTGCCCTTATAGCACAAAAGCATCCATAGAAAATACATAAATGAACATACGTATATTGCATTAAAACTTTATCTACGGTCATTGAAAATTGGATTTCATGTAGTTTTTATTTTACAACTCACAAAATATTGTTCTTTTTGGGGTGTTTTTTTTTTTTTTTGCCACCAGCTAAAATATAAAAATCATTCTTAGCTCCAAGCTGGTTTTGGCCCATGGGTTGTGTAGTCTTCCACCTCCTGTCTTAAAACAACATCCTAATCCCAATAATCTGTCTAACCTACCTTTTCTTTATTTTGTTGGGAAAGGGAGCTCAGTGAATTATCACCCATTTAATTCATGTTAAAAACCACTATGCAACTATTTCCAATTTCCAAAAGAAGAATTCCACTCAGGCACAGAAACACCCCAAAAACTAAACAAAACTGATAAAAAAAAGTTGAATACTGCATAAAGTAAAAGTGCCAAATAGGTTTTACCTGTGGTATCAATTCCAATCAAC